TGTAGTAGTCCTGTCACAGAAGTTGCCAACATAGTTTATGGAATAAGCAGGACAGTAGCAACATGAATGCAAAATTGTTTGAGGGATAGAAAATCAAGATTAAAGGTTAATGGATACTTTTGGGTTGAAGAAAAGTTTATAATGGATTCCCCACAGATTAGGTTTAGAATCCTTGCTTTTCCTGATATATCAACTAAGTAAAGGCACCATAGCTTCAAAGGATCATACGGCTGTTCTCTCATTGGACTGAGTCAACCGAAGGTGAGTTTAACAAAACGATGACCATGCCTCAAGTGGGGTTGAGAAAGCAGAACCTTCATGGTAACCTCAGCTGCTGTAGGAAATGAACCTGAACTGTTGGCATCACTCTGTATTACAAACCAGCCGTTAACCAACTCTTTTCTGACATATTTTGATCATCTATACCTTGGTACGAAGAGGTAAATTTCTGAAATTAACTCACTACGACTATCCTCCAGCTCCACACACAGATTGTTCCCTCGGTCCCTAATTGGCCTTCTCTTTCCCTTGTTATTCTCTTCTCTTTGATATACTTGTAGAATATCTTTAGATCCTCCCTCATCTTAACCATCAGTGTTTTTCATGCCCTCTCTTTGCTTTCATAATTGCTTTCTTAACTTCTCCCTGCATTTTCTATACCCCACATGGATCTCTGTTGATTTGTTCCCTTTGTACTTGTTAGAAGCCTCTCTTTTGCTTCTTATCCAGCCCTGAATATTCCGAGGCATTCAGGGTACTCTGGGCTTGTTGCTCCCACATTTCACCTGAAAGGGAACATGTTAGGCCTGTCCTCTATTTAAATGCCCCATTGTTCTGCTGTAGATTTGCCTGGAAGTAGATGTTCCCAGTTTATTTTGGCTAGATCATCCTAATCCAAAACCTTTTTTTGCAGACCATCCTTTTCCTTTTCTAATACACTCTTAAAATGTCGTGTTGTGGTCACTATCACTTAAGTGCTCTCGCACTGCACTTCAAACACCTGTCCAGATACTAAGTAATTTGCAAAAGAGGCAACTGTGACGTTTAAAAAAAAAAACTTATTCGCATAGTGAATAGTTAGAGCGTGGAAAGCTCTGCCTGGACATATGGTGGGGACAAGTTCGATTGGGGCATTCAAGAGGGAATTAGATGATTAATTAAATAGAAACAATATTCAGGATAATGGAGAAAAAGTAGGAGAATGGCACTAAGTCAACATGCTTGTCCAAACAGCCAGTTCAGACACAATGCGCCCTAACAATTCTGTGATTCTATGATGCAATTTACTTAACTAAGTCATTAATAAATAGAATTAATGGGTCAAGCACCAGCATAGATCCTGTGAAACATCTTTTTCCAATTTGGATACACATTTATTATCACTACTGTCTCCTTCCACCTAACTAAATCAAATTTTTTCCATGAGCATTGGAAAACCATGCTAACAGTCTCTAATGTGGAAACTCATTGAATGCTTCTGTAATCCACATCTATAGACATTCCACTAATACCTTACTTATTTCTTCAAAAATCAATTAGGTTTGTTGACCAAAATTTACCTGCTAAGAAATAATTGTTGGTTTCACTAATCAGCTCAAATTTCTCAAGTGCTCAGTCACTCTACCTTTAATCATAGATTCCACTAACTTGCCCACAACAGATGTTAGACTGACAGGTCTATAATTTTCCTTTTTTTTCTCAACTTTCAGGAGCATATGAGTTGAACTTGGCTGGACACAAATGCTGGAATAATGTATCACTGGCATGGAAGCATCAGAGACTTTAGGAGAATAGATATTCTTTACTGTGGGAAGATTAATATCTTATAATGAGGAAAAAGTTTATAAATAACATTATTATTATGGGGAGAGGATGAGATGAAGAATCCGTGGACTGGAAATAGGTTAAAACAAAAGACGAGAATATCGGTTTCCAGGTTTTCCAACTCACCACATTCTACAACGTAAACACTGCATGCAGTAACAATAGGATACGTTTGAGCAGTGCGTTTTAAGAATGTGTTCATTAGATGTTTAGGCAAAGGCAAACAAGTCCTGTTTTTGGTGTCTAAACTTGAAGTAGATGAAAGCAGTGATCGTTGTTTAGGAATTGAAGAGGACAATATTTTCGGTTCACTCTTACTGACAAGCGTATTCATTATCGCAACTGCTCGACGCTCCCTAATTTTTTTAGTTTGTTCATTGTTTAAAGATTAATTTTACCTACCTACCCTCTTTGTGCATCTGCATGCCATCCACTGTTGTTTTATGTCTTCCAGTTGGCATGCTCATATCATCACTCTATCAAAGCATGTGACCTGAGTATGTCTCCAAGAAATATGCTCACCATATCATCAGTCTATCATAGCATGTGACCTGAGGGCATAAGGGTGTCAAACTGCATTTTGAAAAAAAACACTGTACTGGAAGCATGCTCCTCTGTTGTAATCTCGTAGCTTAATATTAGCTCAGATATTTATGTGCCTGAGAAATGTAATGTTTATATATAATAGTTAGTTGTAATAAATATTTAGAGTTGCAGAATTTTAGAGTTACACAACACAGAAACAGATCCTTTGGTCCAACTCGTCCGTGCCAACCAGATATCCTAAACTGATCTCGTTCCATTTGCCAACATTTAGCCCATATCCTTCTAAACCCTTCCTATTCATGTACCCATCCAGATGCCTTTTAAAATGACGTAATTGTACCTGCCTCCACTACTTCCTCTGGCAGCTTGTTCCATACACAACCCACCCGCCACGTGAAAGTTCCAAAAATTTGTTGAATTCTTCAAAACGACAATATTCATTACCCAGTTTCTTATGGGAGACAACATAAGCATGTCACATTAACTAAAAAACCCTGTTGGAGGTAAATTCACACCATCCACCATTCACGGTCATTAAAGGTGAATGAACAAGCTGTTCACAGCGATGTACTGAGCTCAAATTGCTAATTCATAGTACGTGGTGCGTGACCTCTGTATGACATCTCCCAAGTTTAGTGCCCAGGAGCTGAGCTTCTCATACTCATTAAATCAGAATAAATGTACAAGGTGGCCTTGTGCCACAGCATAACACCATTACTTGATGAATCATTGCTCTGAATTCTGGCAGGATTACAAGAAAAAAATTATGGATGATTGTTTAAATATAATTTTAAAACAATACATGTCTGCAGTGCAAATTGATCAATAATTCTGATTGAAGCACTGAAACACACTAGGGGAAAAACCCTAACAAAGGGGTTACAAATATTAACAAAATGATTATTTCTGCAGATTCGCTTTTATAATGGTGAATGATTAGTTTGTAGACCTTTTAAAAAATTACTGAAAGATGTGACAGTCCTTACACATTATCCTTATGCAGTTTTTATTGGCAGCTTTTTTGAAGTCTAAGCCTATTTGTTTCCAAGACTGCCACTGCACTCCTCTGAAGATGATTCCATGGCTTGCAGCCTCATAATCCCCCAAGCCCAGACAACTTGATCCCTTTACTTCCCAAAATCCACAAGGAGACTTTCGTGGACTCATATTTCAGCCTGTTCCTGTCACACTGAAGTAAATTCTTCCTAATTTAACTCTACTTTTTCTCCCCTTGTCCAGTCTCTTTGCAGAATGTCTTCACTGTCCGCAAACTTAATCCTGACCTTCTGGCTGCTGGCCATTTTGATTCTCGCACTTTCGTTCTTGGCATATTGTAATGTTCTAATGAAGCCCAATGTAACTCTTCTACTTATGCACGTTGCAGCCTTCTGGATTCAACGATGAACTCAACAATTTTAGATCATGAACTCTGTCCTCCACTTTGATTTCTGATTTTTGCCAAGTGCCGGTCTGTATCTCGTTTTCATGCTTTTGCTATCACACAAAACTGTCCCTTATTCTGTTTCTGACACTTGTTCTGGACTAATTGTTTCTTAACTACAAGCATTGTCACTCCCTTTAACATCTTTGCAATTTAATCTCTGCTTTCATTGTCCCCGACCTTCCCTTTTCTACTTGATCCTCCCTACTTTTCCAGAAGCGTTAAACTCATTACATATCTACCTCTCTTCAGTTCCATGGATGAATCATATTGGATTCAAAAAGTTAACTCCATTCTCAGTGGGTAGCCAGATTAATGAAACTGAGCATCATATCTGATCCCAACAATAATCTCCCCAACCAGCTGCTACTCCATCCCCTTGCACCCACAATCTGAGGACCAGCAGAGGGTCAGCATGTCTGCAACCCTTTGGTGCTCGCAAGGAGATGGTACAATTATTGGATTAAATCCCTCAGAACTGGCGATGGTGAATGTATAGAAGCTGAAAATAAGTTGTTGCATCATTACCATCTTCCTCTCAAACCTCATCCTAAAACATGACAAGAAATGAACAATTTATGTAACAGGGAAGGCTTATTTTCCTCCCCACTCTGTTTCCCCTCAACAGTACCCCTCCCGTTCCTTTTCTAAATTCAAATAATGATCTGATGCATGACATGGAAGGATGCCTTCTGATGATTTACTGCAGCAGCAGAAGCTCAGATAGAGTTCATGAGATGATTGCTGCTCTCAAAAAGGCTCAGATTGCTGTCATCATAGGTGTAGATCAATTGCTCCGTGGGTTTTGCAGGCTTTTACACGGTCCAGCAGATTCCTAGGACTGTCGAAACTTTGCCCCACAGACATCGCAGATAGCCTGAGAACTTTCATGTTCCTCTTGAGCAATCAGATCAACAGCCATGACGGTATCAGTCAGAATAACAGCAATTGTGCTCCGACCACTATCAATGTCCTTCTTTTCAATTAACCAGCCCACACTGCTGCCAATCTTGGTGTTGGGAGGCCAAAGAAAGACCCTCAGGCACCAGAGATGCTCAAGGGTATCTGATATGGTCACCAGAAGTCTTTCCAGTGAAAATTAGCAGCCCTGTACCAGCCACACTTTGTGAACCGTCGGACAGCAAAACAAGCACTCGGGAACGGACAAGAATGATCAGTTTTTTGTATTATTTATATATTATTGGATGAAGTTGCCTTGTGAATGATTTTGTTTATGGCCTTTACGATTTGATGTGGTATTGGAGGGGCGGGAGGAAGAGAGAAGTGACGGTCCCTATGCCCGTCAGAGAAAAAAAATTGTGTGTTACTCGGGGGTAGCGTGTTCACCGTCTGTCCTTCCAAACTGTTTTGGGATGGAAAGGACCGCTCGAGTCCTGGAGCTGCTGTGTGGGGGGATGAGACGGCAGTGGTAGGGGCTAAGGGGCAGGGGAGCCCTCACCTCCCGTTGTCCGTCTCCTTTCCTCCTCCACCCTCCACCACTTACTCCCCCGCCGCCGCCGTGACTCACCGTGCACGCGGTGTCCCTGACGTCGCGCAGTTACGCATTGCAACATGGCGGCTCCGTTCAGTAGTCGCTGTTGCGGATCTGAGCGGTTCTCCTTGTGGGTGAGTGAGTGAGGGCGGTTGGAGCTGGGAATGGTTTCGGTCGAGTGACTCTGTCGACACGGCCCGTTTTTGTCGGAGCGGGGAGGGGTATGGATGCGGTTGCACACTCGCCTTCCCTCTTGTCGCGGTGTGAGGCAGGAGGAGGGGAGGTGTTTGGGTGAGTCGCAAGTCCCCCGCCGTTGGACGGTTGATCTCCAACTGCTGCCGCCGCTCGCGCCGGACTGTGGGGAGGAGGGAGAGCGGTGCGCGGCGCAGCTCGAGCCGTCGGGTTCCCGTTCCTCACCCGTTCGGCTGCTTGAGCCCCGTTTGCGCAGGAGAAGCGTGAGCTTCCAGCTCCGGGGGCAACTGCAGCTTGGAATTCTTGGGGCGGGTATAAATGATTTTTCACTCGCTTATTTCCCATGATTTTTCCAGAATAATTAATATTTGTAGCAGTGTAATTGTAATTTTTGATGTGAACCTTTTCACCTGTTGAGACATATTTCAAGGGCATTCTATTGCCCTAACTGTTCTGTTTCTGGGACGATAACGACTGCGTCCGGTAGAATTTGTTATCTCCTCCGCACCCCCCATGGATATGGTCTCCTGCTTAGTATGTTTTGTTTACCTTGTATGTTTTGTGTATTTATTTTAGAGAACTTGATATAGATCATTTGTGTAGGTATTATTTGACCTATATTGCAAAACCACACTCAAATCGCAGATCTTAATCCATCGAAGTTGTGGCTTGAATTTGTTTTGGTTTATATTGTCGGCTTTATTTTGGGCTCCTGTGGAAGTGTCATAAAATCGAACAACGCACAGATAAAATAAATCTTTGCTGATTGTTGTTGTATTTTAGAATAATTTAAGTGACGCTCATAGTAATCAAATAAAGAATTTTCCTTTCAGATTTGTGGTAAAGCCAGTTGAAAAATATTGGAACATGGTAAAATATTTGTGACCTGTTAGCTATTGGCTCTCTTCCTTTAGTGACTCATTTCCTGTCCATCTCTTTTTTTTGTGTTGCATAGGTATTTTATACAAGTTATACTAAATTCAAAATTACCACTGGTGATGCCCTATTTAAGCTGTATTTCTACATCATTCTGTACACCATTCCAGCGACACAAATGACCTACTTTTTGGTATTTTTCTCTCTCGTGATTGTCCAATAGGATCTGAAAACAAAATGCTGAAAATACTTCACAGGTCTGGGATGTCCGCAGAAGGAGAATAATATGCTAACATTTCAATTGAGGGACCTCTCATATAGACGTTTGACTTTACTTTTTATGATATTGATCCATTTTGTTCTTTCAATTAGTGCTGTAATTTTCTTGGAGACTCAAAATTTGGAATATATACTACACTGTAGCGAGTACTGTACAGAACTTTGGAATGGTGGGTCGCACACTGCGCTCCCAGGCACGATCTTTCTTTGATTTAGAGAAGTGAGGGAACATTAAACTTCATATGTTGAAGTAGGACCATTGAGAACAAGTTGGGCTGAAGCGAAGTGTGGGTGAAGTAGCTACATATGCCTATTCATAACATCATTAGAAATAGGAGCCAACACTCAGACATGATCTTACTGTATTGCAGAGCAGGCTTGAGGTGCTAAATTACTTCAGACCTGCTCTGCAATTCAGTAAGATCATGTCTGAGTTCATTTTGACCTTAACTACAGTTTCAAACTTTTTTCTGCCCTTGACACTTGACTCCTTTATAGATTTTAAAAGTTGTAACTCAGTCTTGAATATTTTTAATGGCTCAGCATCCAATGAATTCTGTGGAAGAGAATTCCAAAGACTCTGAGAGAAGAAATTATTCCTCAGCTTCAAACTAACTGGGGCAACCTCCTACTTAAACCATGTCCCCTAGTTCTAGATTCCTTTGCAACACGAAAAATCCACTCAGCATTCACCCGGTCAACTCAAAGTATATCCCTCCTTAGGTAAGAAAACCAAAACTGTACGCAGTACTCTGGGATGGAGTCTCATTAAACCCCTGCACAGATGCAGTAGACTTCCCTTCTTTTACATTGCATTTGCTTTGTGTCAAGACTAAGATTTCATTTCACTTTGGGGTGTCTGTATGTTTACTGTTTACAGTTCATGTACTAAGACATTGAAATTTTGCTATATGTCAGGGTTTTGCACTCTTTCTTAATTTAAGTAGTATTCTGTTTTTCTGTTCTTGATGGCAAAATTACAAACTCACGTTTTCCCACAGACTTCATCCTTTAGATTTCCACTCACTCACATTACCTTGCAGATATCCTCAAAATTTACTTGGTTGCCGATATGCATTTGCTGCCACAGAACTTCAGCATTGCTGAAAAAACTCACATATTGCCGAAGCTTTTCATCTTGTGCCCATCAGGACAGCACATAAAAATACCACACAGCACTGGAAATCTGAAAGAAAAACTGCTGTAGAAACTCGGGTCAAGCAGCAGCTATGGCGAGAAAGCAAAGTCTATGTTTTGTCAAGTGAACAATTCTGAAGAAGGATCGCTGGACCTGAAACGTTGACTCTGCTTTCCCTCCACAGCTCTTGCCAGATCTTCTGAATTATGCAGCAATTTCTGTTTTTTGTTTGATTTTAAAATATGAATTTGGAAAAAAGCAAGATTTATACAACATGAAAGGAGAGTGCTGTTTGTTGGACAAGTGGACTCTGACAGAAGAGTTGCTGTGGAGAATGCACCCATCAATGCTGCTCGACACTTAACTGCTAGTTTTTGTTTAAATTTTATACTCGTGACCAATTTAGGATTGTGAGTTAGGCCTACGTTTATTCGAACCTATGTAGATTAATACATAGGACTTTGTTTTTTGCAGACAGTGAAGAAGATTATCTAAGATTACCAAGAGATTTTGATCAGTTGGGTCAATGGGCTGAAGAGGAGTAGATAGAGTTTAATTTGGATAAATGCACGGCATTGGATTTTGTAAAAACAAACAAAGATAAGACTTGTATAGTTAAAAGTGGAGCCTTGGGCAGTGTTGTAGAACAGAGAGACCTAGGGGTTTAGATACATAAGTCTTTGAAGTTTGCATCTCATATGGATAAGGTGGTTTTAGAAGGCATTTAGCGTGCTTGCCTTCAATGCTCAGAGCTTTGAATATAGGAGTTTAGATGTTATGTTGAGGATGTACAGGAGGTTTATGAGCTCTCTTCTAGAGTACTATGTCCAGTTCTGGTCGCCCTTTATAAGAAGTATATTATTAAGCTGGAGAGGGTTCAGAAGAGGTTTACCAGGGTGTTGTCGGGAATGGAAGGTTTGAGTTATGAAGAGAGGCTGGATAGGCTGGGACTTTTTTCACTGGAACATAGGTTGAGAGGTTACCTTTGTGGAGGTTTATACAATCATGAATGGCAGGTATCTTTTCCCTAGGGGTGGGAGCTTTCGAGACTAGGGGACATATCTTTTTTAAATTTTTTTCTTTCACCTTAAAAATATGTGGCAATTTATTTTGGACACAGTTGTTCATGTGCGGAATGAACTTCGAGAGGAAGTGGTGGATGTGGGTGCAGTTATAACATTTAAAAGACATTTAGACAGGTACATGAATAGGAAATGTTTGGAGGATATTGGCCAAGCACAGGCAGGTGGGACTAGTTTAGTTTGGGATTATGGTTGGCATGGACTGTTTGGACTGAAGGGTCTGTTGCCATGCTGTATGATGCTCTAATGTGTACACACTGCACCTATTTCACCTCCCCAAAATAGGTGATAGCTGTCCATTGGCTGGGGCTTTGCCCTGAAAAATGAACCAGAGTCAACCTGCTTTGTTTAAAACCTAAGCAATGGTTAGCAGTTAACTGTCAATCAGAATTGATTTTTGCAATCAGCATGAGAATATCTCTGCTAGTCCACTTGCCATCCAATCAGCAATCTGCTGTTAGACAATATAAATATTGGCCTACCTATTATAAATCATCCCGATGAGTGGAAGATTTAAAAAAAAGGACATTTTGTCAAAGATTTGTAAAGCAATACTCCAGTTCCTATCTGCACTCCATTAATTCCAGTTTAACCCAGACTTCATGATCAAACCTGCTGATAAGGCAGGTGGTAATGTCTGGCATGTCAAACTGTACCTTACAGAGGCTGAGCGTCCATCACTTCCGGGACCATTGTCCCACCACTTGCAAAAGTTTGTAGCTCTGGCTGTGGGTGATGTTGTTGACTTGCTCGCCAAGCTGGCTGGTTATAGTTCAGATGTTTCGTCACCATGCTAGGTAACATCATCAGTGTGGCCTCCGATGAAGCGATGTTGTTCCACTCCGCTTAGAATTTATATGATCCGGCCTGTTGAGGTGTTTTGTCATTTCCGGTTCTTTTTTGCAAGGGTTTGTACATGGGGTCTAATTCCATATGTTTATTGATTGCATTATGGCCTTTGTTGTCTGAGTGTGCTGAAATGAGGGAAAGTTTGTCGTGTCTTTTTGCTGCTAGCTGGTGGTTGTGTATCCTGATGGCTAGTTTCCTTCCCGTCTGGCCCATGTAATGTTTTTTATCTGTCTTTGCACGGTATTTAGTACACTATGTTGGTCCTGCATGTTGTGAGTATGGGGTCGTTGGTCCTTGTGAAACGACAAACTTTCCCTCATTTCAGTGCACTCGGACAATGAAGGCTATCAATTTAACTGGGATAGTGTGACCACCCTAGCTCAAGCCAACCATAGATAGATAAGGGAATTCCTAGAGGCCTGGTTCTCCACCCATAATGCAATCAATAAACACGTGGAATTAGGCCCCATGTACAAACCCTTGCAAAAATGAACTGGAAAAGACACACAACACTTCAACAGACCAGATCCTAAAAATACTAAGCAGAGTAGAATAACATTGCTTCATTGGAGGCCACATTGATGATGTCACCTGGCATGGTGACGAAACGTCTGACCTATAACCAGCCAGTTTGGCAAGAAAGTGAACAATCTCACCCCACCAATGAATATCGAGCTGTTGTTTCCAGAATTGTCACTAACCTCATCTCCCCTGCACTGCTTCCCATCTCCGAATCCACATCCCTGCACAACTTTTACCTTCTTCCCGAAACCCACAGGCAGTCTTGACAGACTGTCATTTCAGCCTGTGCCAGCTCCACTGAACTTATTTCTTCCTTTATCCTTTTCTCCCCCCTTGCTCACTCACTTCCCATTTGGATTTGAGATTCTTCTAATGGTTTATGTTGATTCCACACTTGTTAATTTCCTGGCCTCAACTGCTGCTGCCTCTTCACCATTCATGTCTAATCCCTTCACATGAAAATGTCCTGATGGGGAATGAACAAGGCTGTCTGCTTCTTCCTTGAAAGGAGTACAAAACAGTCCACGTCCTATGCTGAAATCCATCTGGCTGGCTCATTCTTTCTTTGAACCACTTCTCTGTCAACCTGGCTCACTTTTCCCAAGTCATAAGTGTGGCTTTGAGTTCCTGCATGGGTCCCAGTTATGTCTGTCTCCTTGTGGCATATGTGAAACATTCCTTGTGCCAATCTTACTCTAGCACCCCCACCCACAACCCTCGCTCTGGTAGATTGATGTCATCAATACTACTTCCTGCTCTCATCTGAAATTGGAACAATGAATCAGTTTTGCATCCAATTTCTATCCTACTTGCACCTTCAACGGACTCCAGAGTTTAAAAACCAGGCAGGAAAACACACCGACGCTTCATTGGAGGCTGCACTGATGATGTTACCCAGCATGGTAACGAAACGTCTACGGAATAACAAACCAGCTTGGCGAGCCAACCAACCTCAACACCCACAACCCGAGCTACAAATCTACTCCAAAACCTTTCACTTTCATCTCGGACTCTTCCATTCCCTGCTTTTATAAATGGAGACAGATTGTTCACCAATATCCATTGCAAGCCCACCGATTCCCAGTTACCTTGACTACATTTCCTCAATACTGTCTCCTGCATGGACTCCATTCTGTTCTTCTGGTTTTGGCATCTATGTTGAATCTGTTCTGATGATGCCATTTTCCATGGTGGCGCCTTCAACATGTTCTTATTTTTCCTCAACTGAGGATTCCACCACCACACCATCCCGCACACGCTTGGCAGGGTCCTCATCCATGTCTGACCAATTTACAGCACTGCTGCCTTCACCCCTTGCACTCATTCACAGAACAGGACCAAGGTTCTCAACATCCTCACTTTCCATCCCAACAGTCTTCATTTCAGAATGCCATTTCCACCACTTGTAGCAGGTTGCCACCATCAAATGCATCCTCCCTTTCCCTTCCCTCCACTATAAGCACTTCACAGGTACTGTTTGTTCCATTACATCCTGGGCCATTCCTCTATCATAGCCAAATCTTTCTATTCACTTTGCCAAGTCACCTTCCTGTGAAATTGCAAAAGGTCTAACATTTGGCCTTTTGCTTCTTCCCTCTTCAAGATTCAATACTCACTCATCTCAATCCACATGGACAAGGAGAACTACCATTTCGACTGGGACAACACCAAAATCCTGAGACAAGCGAGGCAGAGACAGGCATGAGAATTCCTAGAAGCCTGGCACTCCATGAAACATGCTATTAACAAACACGTTGAACGCGACCCCATATACATTCCACTATGAACGAAAACTGGAAGTGAGGCAATCCAGCTCAACGGACTCCAGAATTTAAAAACCAGGTGGGAAAACACACCAACGCTTCATTGGAGGCTGCACTGAGGATGTTACCCAGCATGGTAACAAAACGTCTGCGACACAAGAAACCAGCTTGGAGAGCCAATCAACCTCAACACCCACAACCCGAGCTACAAATATACTCCAAAACCTTACATCAAGGGACTACCTGATGATTCTTCAATCTTTGACACAGGCAAAAAACAAAGTTTAGTATAAATAGATGATGACAATGGTTGGGGTGTTGGGAGGGGAGAGTTGTGGGGATGCAGGAACGGGGCTGACTAGAAACAGTTGTGTATTGACGTTCTCAACAAAAATGTTTGTTTTTTTTTCTTTTCGTATACTTGTGTTACAGATTTAATACCAATGTTTACACTTGGTGAAGAAGATCTTTGAGATTATGCAGATTTTATTATATTTGGTGCGTTTTCCTATTTGAGGTATAGAATAGAATCATAGAATCCCTGCAGTGTGGTAACAGGCCTTGTGGCCCAACAAGTCCACGCCGAACCTCAGAGCATCCCACCCAGATTCATCCCCCTATAATCCACCTAATCTACACATCCCTATGGGCAATTTAGCCTGGCCAATTCACCTAACCTGCACATCTTTGGACTGTGGGAGGAAACCGGAGCACCTGAAGGAAACCCACGCAGACACGGGGAGAATGTGCAAACTCCACACAGACAGTTGCCCGAGGCTGGGATCAAACCCGGGTCCCTGGTGCTGTGAGGCAGCAGTGCTAACCACTGTGCTGCCCAATATCATAAAACTCTTGGCTGTGTTCCCCTATCATGTATACTTGTGAAATTTTAATTTCATTTTCTAATCCTTGTGTATTAGTTTTTAATTTTTCTGATGCTTGTATCTAACCTACTTGCTCTCATTCCAATGTATCTTTTTATTCAACCTTATGTTATTTAAGTCATAAGAATATTCATGAAATCTCTCAAGCAATTCCCTGTTCCATGAAGAAAGAAGTATTCTGGGTACATGTAGAAAATTTGCATTGATGTGGAGCTTGAACAGAGTTACGCATCCTCAGATGGTTGTTGGCAAAAAATGACATCTTAAGAAAGATATTAGGACAAGTAAGGTGAAGGAATTAAGTTCTGACTTGTCTTAATTGAGGAGCAATGAAGTTGCAGCTCGGGACGAAATTTTGAAACTCAGGGCCTTGATTTCTGAAGGCCCTGCTACCAATTGTGGGCTAAAGAAAATGGCGGATGTTCAAAGCACAAGAGGGGAAGCAACATCAAATTCTGGAGTCCTCTGAGATTTTTCAGGAGACTAAAGGTTACAGAGATAGAGAAGGGAAAACTCCTGGAGAACCAAAGTGCTGGGAGTCAAAGGCATGAGTTTCCAAAATAGAAAGTGCTGGAGAAACCCAGGTCTGGCAGCATCTATGGAAAGAGAAACCAATTTAACGTTTTAAGTTCATTATGACTCATCTTTGGAAGAGTGTTTATCTCTACAGGTGCTGCTAGATCTGCTGAATACCTTCAGCATTTTCTGTTTTTATTTCAGATCTCCTTTATCTAATGTACTTTGCTTCTATTACAATAGGTTCCCTTTTCTCGAAGTTCAACTGAGCAAAATTTTGATTTGTTTATGACTGGATATTGGGCAGGCAGGTTGATAGTGCTGAAGCAAAGGAGTGCTCAGGAGAGGTGATTCTGGCATAGAGCTAGTTGTCATCAGCATGCATGTGGAAACTGATGTAATTTGTTTGGAGGATGTTGCAGCTGCGGCAGAATTTAAAGAGAAATAGGAGGAAGCTGGGGGTAGCTCCTTGAAGCGATAACAGTTAAGTATGGCTACCAAAAGAGAAGTAGTAGGAGAATGTTAGCTGGATACAAATGGATATGTAAGAGTGAAGTTGCACATTGTTTGATCCACATTGTATAACGTAGAAGGGATGTTGGACTGATTTTTTTTTTAAAGTCTGCTAAGGAACTAAGAATGCGTTGGTAATGTTAATCACAGTCACAGTCATCTTGGATGAAATTTCCCCTTTCCATTACAATGTTTTCAGAAGAAAAGCAAATGGCATAAAAATAATACACCACCAATTCTTGTACATTATCACATTTTCACAGTTTGTGATTGAGCCCAATGATGACCATGAATCCATTGTCAATTGTCGGAAAAACTCATTTGGTTTACTAACGTCCTTTAGGGAAGGAAACTGCCATCCATACCTGGTCTGGCCTACATTTGACTCCAAACCCAGAGCAATGTGGTTGACTCTGAACTGCCCTCTGGGCAATTAGAGATGGACAATAAATAGCAGCCTAGCAAGCAATGCCCCCATCCTGTGAATGAATTAAACAAAAAATTCCGATAAAGCATATTTGTGGCAGTGTTATTGACTTGTTCCAGTAGCAATGTGTCCCCATTTCTTTTTGGATATCAACATCAGTTAGCTTGCAGATGAAATAGGAAGTTTAGAGATTAATGTCGTGATCTATATTGGAAAAATAAATAGGCCGTTGAGCCCCTAGAGTCTTTCCAACATTGCTTACATCATGGATTAATATCTCAACTCGATTGACCTACTGTTGCTTCTTTTCCCATGATGTCCTCACCCAACAAAATCTCTTGATCTGCGAGAGAACCTTTTGGATTATTCTCGAATTTTAAACTTCAATTTTTTGTTATAAAGAGGATATTTACATACAGAATTTAATGACTGTTTTTTGAGATGAATCTGAACAGTTGTTTTGTGAATGTAATTCTAAACTGGTGCCCACTAATTAAGACCCTGCAGAGAATGTAACAATCCAGCGTCCATTAATCAGAGAATGATGTTACATTGCCCTACTTATTCATTGAGGCAGTTGCGCTAAAAATACTGCCTTGGAAATAGAATTAACTTACATGTATTGCAATCTGACCAAGCAGTCCTTGAAGGAAGAGAAATTTGGAAGGTTTGTTAACCGTTGCATTGTGTATGTCAGTAACTTTGTTTGTAACTTGGACAGCTCATGATGGTGATTAAGCATTTAAGCTAAATTATGTTAATTTTATTTTTCATATTAATATGACATTGTGAATGCATCAGCTGCAGTTGAAAATAGATTAGGGTATCTTCAGGAAATTTCGTCGGGAATGTGACATTAAATAGATTCTCTTTACATAAAGATATTCTGATCAGATTAGCCTATCCATACTTTGAGCCAAATATGTGCAAATATTTAACAAAATCAGGAATGTGTAGTGGTTATTCACTAATTATTTCCAAAGGTTGGTACGCTGTCATTTTTTAACCACTTTGTAAGGTGAAAAAATCTATGAAGGTCTTTATTTATATTACTATTCCATCTTCTGAAAACTGGTAACTTATCTTAAGAAATGGATACGAGATTAAAAGAAAACACTACAATGAAGGATTCACAATAGCTAAGCGATAAGGATAACATTATGTCAGAACAAGGTTTGCAACTGCTTTTTAGTCTTTTCATTTTGTATATAACCTCTTAAATGTTTTTTTTCCAACCCTTCATTGACCTCCAACTGAATTAAGTTACTTTCTCACTTCGAACTCACTTGATGGGGAAAAAGTTGTCTTTAAAGGTTTATTTCTGTCCTGAAGTTAATGTAGGTCAGAATTTAATGGATAAAGCCAAGAGAAGCTAGATTAAATTGGATGGAAATAAAGTTAAATTGAAGGAGTGATGCTAGAAACTGTGACAGTTAGAATCTTGACCTTGGTCTGCTTTGTAGGTTAGTATGTACATTCCATAAATTTTAAAAAAATCTGACTTTGACTGCATAAAAGTATTTTTAGCATTCTAGTCCAACGTTGGAGCCCTAATAATTGATCTAGCGATATAGGAATTTTTTCCAAACCCAAAAGTGTCCAGCCGTTAATTTATTGTGCGGGTTATGTGAATATTTCTTGCTGGAAAATTGGAAAAGTGAGGAAGTAAAACAGAAATTACGACTGATGCCCTGTTTTTTAGTGTATATGGATCTTGGTGCCTCGACTTGCATTTGTTGCCTATTCTTAATTGCCCTTGATAAAGATGATGATAAGCTGTGTTCTTGATCTGCTGCAGCAAACCTGGTGTAGGAAAATCTAGAATTCTATTAGGAAGTTCCAGGATTTTGATCCAATGACAGGGAGGGAACAGTGTAGTAGTTCCAAGTCAGGATGGTGTGAATGGTATGTGGCTTAGACTCATGGAGATTTACAGCATGAAAACAGACCCTTCGGTCCAACTCCTCAGTGCTGACCGTATATCGTGTATAAACCTAGTCCTATTTGCCAGCATTTGGTCCATATCCTTCTAACCCCTTTCTATTCATATACCCATCCAGATGCCTTTTTAAATGTTGTGATCATACCAGCTTCCAGCCCTCCTCCTGGCAGCTCATTCCATACATGCACTGTCCTCTGCGTGAA